GGAGTCGACGTTTCATCTTGGAGGTCCGCTTCGCCAGAGTGTTTCGGGCCTTCTTCGAGACCCTGTTCCCCATGGTGAAATCGACTCCGAGGTTTGGCGCAGACTGTGCTTGGTTGATTCCCTCTGGTCCACTGTGCTTACCTAGAGCTGTGGCCAGGCGGTGCTGTGCTGCAGCGGGCGAGCCCAGCGCTGCTGCCTTGTGCAAGGCGACCGAGCAATCGAGGTCCTCCTCGATTAGATCTAGCATGCTGTCGGCGGCCTGCGCCAGGTCCGACGCCAACAGGCGAACACTTGTGTTGTTGCTAGTCAACATGAAATCATCTATGAAGATTGAGGGGTCCACGGTGGGGAACTTCGGGACCCAGGAGTCCATGGGGGGGGTCCGTATACATTTGGACGTTGTAGGTCGCAAGCGAGCACCCAGCTGGAAAGCCTTTGGTAGCACCCCCCGCGTAGGTAGCCAATGTTCTGGTTGCAACAGCCCTGGGGCCCCCATACTGGTTCATCATAATGCACGTACGCGTCTCCGAAAATCCAGAAGAGATCGCCCGAGATTTCCATTTCCTCCGATTGACATTCTCATAATAGTTAGATAAGTCCCATAAAACCCCACCAGTGTGGACGGCTTGGAAACCAGCAAGTTCAGCCTTCAAGGCCTGCGCATAAACAGTTTCAAGCACACCTCGACCAGACTGGTGAGCAAGATAAGGCCTTTTGTTGGCCCTTTCCCACCGACGAGCTTCCCCTGGGCGAATTTTAGACCACGCCCTCCAGAGGGCAGGGGGCAAACCTATACCACGGTGCGAGGGGCCCTCAGACTGGTCGGGCTTGTGCTTCTCAATCAACGTGATACTGGCGCCGCGGATGGCTGTCGGAAATACTCCAATCTCCTCGATCGCTGCCAAAAGCTTACGCACATGCTCCAGTTCCACGTTGCTGAGATAAGCAAAGTGACGAGGATGAAACCCATCCCAAGTCTGGCTGGTAGATTTTGGAAATCTTTTGGCAGCTGATCTGATCTGGCCAGGCGTGATGGGCTCCAAGCGGTCACGCCCGGCCGACGGCAAGTTAAAGTCCTGCTCCTGCGGCGTGGCCTGCCGCAATCCTGCGAGGCGGGTTGCCTCGGACTGGAGCAACTCAGATGGCCGACCTGAAAATGTCTGCAGCTCGGGGCGCCAAACTTTCTGAGGTTACCAGGAGGTGAGCTTTGAGGTCCAGCGGTGGGCCCAACCAACACCCCGAGACATGGCCTCCTGGACCCAGTTGTTCCAAGACGTTGTTTCGCTTTGTCGGTCCTTGGCCTCCTCAGCTTTGAGCGCGTGATCGACTGCTTCATCGAGCTCTTCAAATACCTTCAACACGAGCTTGGGGTCCATCTGGCCATTGTCCTGGTCTTGGGCAGCAGCGCCTAGAGCAGTCCTAACACTGGCGAGCAAACGGGAAAACTCTTCGGTACCTTCGAGCTCTGGGGGTGGCGACTGGATGCTGGTCAAAATCTCCGAAAGGTAAAACTCCTCCTTGGAATCAACCCGACGGATAACGTCCATGTTTTTTTTTTTTTTTTTTTTTTTTTTTTTTTTTTTTTTTTTTTTTTTTTTTTTTTATATATATATATACCACCGAATCGGAATTGATAGACTCCTCCAACTGGCCCTGGGCTCCACCTCTCGAGCGGCCCCCGGTGCCCAGCGGATCTTAGGGAGGCCCGCCCGCGGGGCCGTGGGCGACTTGATCGGAGTGTCCGTGCGTATACTGATCGTCTTCGCCATGTCCGAGGCGAAATACTGATGTGCCGGATCCAGGGCCAGCAAGCCGGCCTCAATCCCAGACTCGCGATCAATAACCTGGTCCAGGAAATCCGAGGCAGCCCCCGTACGGTCCCAGGACGGCACGTGGTTGGTTGGCCCATAGGGCCTGGAGGTAGCAAAAGGTTGGGGCTCCCCCAAAACTGGGACCATATAGGGCTTCCCGCAGCGCAGCTGGAACAGCACGGGCCTATGCGGGCTCGCGGGGTACTCGTCGAGAACCGTGGCCCCCGGGAGGTCCTGGTCGAAACGCGACGAGGCGAGAACGAAGTCGATAATGGACTCGGACTTCTTCATCTTACATGTTGGTTTTGTCGGGGCCATAATCTTAAGGCCTGCTCTCAGCGGGTAGTTCGACTCGATTAGCTTACTCGTCGACACAGTGAAATCCCCAGCAATGATGAGTGGCTGTCGTACAGCGTCCTGGATCATTGCAACCCCTGCTAAGAGCTCTAAGTTATACTGGTTGAGGCCCACCCCGTCGGCCAAGTATAGTGAAACTAGTGCGAATGGACGATGTCCAGGAAGCTCAAGTGAAACTGCGGTGCGCCGTGACTCTGCCACCCCTGCAGGCAACGGCACTCGTGATACTCCATAGTCATGCCCATCACGAATCAAAATCCCTGTTCCTTGGACAGGGTACCCTTTCTGACTGAGCACGGCTGGAAAGAGTATCGCGTTCCACCCCTCTCGCTCGCACCACTGTGCGATGAACGGGAGCGCATCCTTCAGTACCCGAAGTTCTTGACAGCAGATGATGTCCACCGTCTCAGTTGCTTGAGACTTCAGAAACTTCCGACTAGATCTCCAGCAGCTTCCATTGATCGTGGCGAACCTGACCGTGTTACCCACGCGGCGCCCCGTCCGTCCCCTTGCCGCCCTTGCCCTTGTTGGCCAGGCAGAGCGCCTTCGCGCTGGACTGGAGCGCCGCGTTGGCCATCTGCTGCTGGGGCGTGAGCGTCGAGTTCTGGCCGTTGATGTTCAGCACCTGGTCGATCGCCTCGCCCACGCGCTTCATGCCCTGGCTCCTCTTGTCCGCCTCGTCGTGGTCCAGCTGCATGGCTTCGGCCTCGACGTCCAGGCTGGCTGCCACCTCTGGGCTGACATCTCCTGATGGGATGGCGGTGGCCTGCGACGGCGCCCTCGGGTCGTCGGCGGCTGCGATTGGGACCGCGGTCCCCGCCTCGGTGCCCGTCTGGGAGTCCTCCGCCCCCTGGGTCGCCGTCTGGTCCTGCTGGGAGCTGGCCTGGGTAGCCTGGGCTGCCTGCCACTCGTCGTGTAGGTTGGCCGACAACTGTGCGACGGCCTGCTTCACCTCCGCAGACGGCGCGAGCCCAGGTGGGAACTGGCTGTTGATGTAAGTCTCCAGCGAGGGGGCCGAGGTGCTGACGTGCTCTTTCAGCGCCTGCTCCACTGCCATTTTGTGCTGGGTCTCCAGCTGCTGCGTCTCCGCTGTCAGGTCGGCGACGATCTTGCACTGGTTGGTATAGTCGTTGGCCAAGGTGACCATGGCCTCACACGTTTTGTCGCATGTCTGTTGGGCACTGAGCAGCTTTTTCTTTGCGACTTCGAGTTGGTCATGCAGCGACTTCCGCTGCTGGTCCCATGGCTTTGCTGCTAGTGTCGATGCTTTCACTGCGTTCAACTCCTCCACGGCCTGCAGGTAGTGACCCGCTTTGATGCCTTCCATTTTCTTCCAGAACTGCACAGCTGCCGCACACACAGCAACTGGGTCTCGATCTGGCTCCTCGGGTTCACGTACTGCCGCAACTCCTTTTTTGGTGACACTTCGGCGCTGGGCTGGACGAGCGCCTGCGCCACCTGTTGGGGGTGCCGCCTGATGTGGTCTGTGACTGAGGGGACGGGCCAGGTTGTCCTGTCTTGCGTCCAATGAAGGCTAGGCCACACTGGCCACAATATTTGAACGGCTTGTCCGCCCATGTCCATCCTTTGCATCCACCAGATTGGCAGCAGAGGTACTTGCGTCCGTCTCCCCTGCCACGACTTTGCGGTCTCTGACCGCCCATATCTGATGGAACGAGGGAGACCCCAGGTTTGGCTGCTGACCTGGGGTGAGAAACTGATTGGCGAGAAAGCAGGCGCCACCTGCCTACGGTAGGCTAAAAGATGGAAGCAGGCGCCACCTGCCCACGGTAGGCTTGTGCCAGAACGGCTTGAGCCAGGAGGAGGAGGAGGAGGGGGAGGAGGAGGGGGATGAGGGAGAGGAGGAGGAGGAGGAGGAGGAAGAGGAGGAGGAGGAGGAGGAGGAGGAGGAGGAGGAGGAGGAGGCGGAGGGAGGAGCGAGGAGGAGGAGGAGGAGGAGGCGGAGGAGGAGGAGGAGGAGGAGGAGGAGGAGGAGGAGAGGAGGAGGAGGAGGAGGAGGAGGAGGAGGGAGGAGGAGGAGGAGGAGGAGGAGGAGGAGGAGGAGAGGAGAAGAGGAGGAGGAGGAAGAGGAGAGGAGGAGGAGGAGGAGGAGGAGGAGGAGGAGGAGGAGGAGGAAGGAGGAGGAGGAGGAGGAGGAGGAGGAGGAGAGAGGGGAGGAGGAGGAGGAGGAGGAGAGGAGGAGGAAGGAGGAGGGAGGAGGGAGGAGGGAGGAGGAGGGGAGGAGGAGGAGGAGGAGGAGGAGGAGGAGGAGGAGGAGGAGGAGGAGGAGGGGGAGAGGAGGAGGATGAGGAGCACGAGGAAGAGGAGGAGGGGGAGGAGGAGGAGGCGGAGGAGGAGGAGGGAGGAGGCGGAGGAGGAGGGGAAGGAGGAGGAGGAGGAGGAGGAGGAGGAGGAGGAGGAGGAGGCCCCCCTTCGAACCGCGGCGGCGTGGTCGAGAATTTGGGCCCGCGCGCGTGTGAGCGACATAAGAAAACGGTCATGGGCGGTTTGTCTCCGTTCCGCCCGACAAGTTCGGCCGCTCAGAAACAGGGGTACACCCTGAGATGCACCTATGCACCCCCAGGAGGGCTATTCGGACGCACACCTATCGAGGATGGACGCCCCCCTGTCCTACATCCCCGGGTTGGGCCCCACATGGTCCATTCGGAAACCTGAACATATCCCCTGTTAAACGGGATCGCCTGCGCCGACATTCGCGCGCAAATTTCCCGCGTAAGGCCGCGCGCAAGCGCCCTCGTTTCCGATGTGGCGTGCCGCGCTGGCGGCCCGCGTAAGCCGCAGCCGGAGGTCGCCATGCCATCTCGCGTACGGCTTCGTTGCTCACGTGTTTATGCCGCTTGATTTTCTTCCGGCCACGGCGCCCGCAGCGGCGGCGGCGGAGCTTCTGCACCCGGCCTGCCGCGGCGGTACGGGGCGAGGAGAGGCGCTTGCACCGCGCCGCGCCGCTGGGCGACCTCTGCTTTTCGAGGCGCTTCTCTCGGCGACTGCGAAGGGTGCGGTCACGCCAGGGGTGTGGTTTGCGATCGGCGCCGTTGGGTCTTGGGGGGCACCACGTTGCCCTCGTCGGGCCTCCTCGGGGCGTGGCGGAGAGCTCCGTCGAGGTCCTCGCCCACCCCCCCCTCCCCAGGCGCGGGGTGCAAACCACATCCTTCGCAAAGCACGCCCTTCGGAGTCGCCGATTCTCTTCGGGATGCGGCCGGGGAAGCACGCCGCATAAGCTGACGAAGAAGCAGACTGCGCAAGCATGAGCTTTCGTCGTGCGCCCGCGTGGACCTCGTGGGACCTGTGCTGGGAGCCCCCTGGTGGCCCCCTCGGGGAGGGGGGCCTGGCGCCGACCCGAGAGGTCCGCGCGGACCGCCGAATGTTCATGTTTGTGCAGCTCTTTCTTCCTCCAACAAGGGCGGCAGCGTGAGAAATTATGCTTCGGGAGCCCTCGCGTTCTCGTCGGCGCTGCTTCTGATGTTCCTGGCGCGCGGCCAGTGGGAAGCAATGGGCGCCAAGGCCAAGGCAACGAAGGTGCATCCTGACAGCAGCAAGGTGAAGGTCAGAGTGAAGAAAAAAGCGCAGCATTCAAGGGACACTGATTCAGGAGTAGACAGCCCTGTAGTAACGGTCTTGGAGTACAGCGCGGATATAGACCCAGACCAGCTGGAGCAACTGAACACCGAGCGGAAGCGCGCCCTAGAAGAGCTGAAAGGTACACTCAAACATAACATCAAAGAGTTACTCAAAGACGATATGGGCATCTTATGGAAGAGTGAGTTTGAAAACCGCGTCCCAGTGTTTCAGCAGTGGTATTTCAGATACCAAACGCAGTACGATCTGATGGGTAAAGGGGTGCGCTCGTTTTTGGCTCACTCTATGGCATTCAATCGTCCCATGGAAAGTGTTAGTGATCTGGTTATGCTGGACATGCAGATCTACATTGAGAAGAAATATGAGCTCCTGATTCTGCAGCCAGAGATATCCGATTGGAAGATTCGCAAGGTGCTGCAGAAAGCGTACAAGCAATTGGAGAGCGAGTACGTACAGGGAGTTCAGGAGGTCAACTCACAGTTCAGGAGGGGTGTATTCGAGAAGTGCGGGAAACTGATCCCGGTAGCTGGCGAAGATGAGTTGGAGATTGTTCTGGATGGTGTGAAATTGGACTGGGAGGCTCAGCTGAACAAAGTGAAACACATCTCAGGACAGTTCGAGCGATCGCCCAAACTGCTCGCCCTTTTGAGTGGGGCCGTCAGCTCCAAGGCTAGCTCCACCGCCGTAGCCGCTGGCACAGCGGCAGCCACGGGCGCCGCTGGAAGCGTGGCCGCCAAGACTGCGGCGGGAAGCGCTACGGTTGCAGCCAAGGTCGTCGCGCCTGCCGCCTCCAAGGCTCTGGCCTCAAAGCTGGCTACACCTTTCCTGGCGAAGTTGACAGCATTTCTTGCCGGTCCTCCTACCGGTGTTGCCGTTGCCGTGGTGGTAGACTGTCTCCTTTCGAAGGGCCTGGCCTTCATGAGCGCAGACGACTTCCGCGCAGAAGTTGGCCGCATCTTAGAAGCGACGAGAGAAGAGTACCTTGAGGCGTGCTATGTCGAGCTCGACCGCGTTGTGGACGAGGAGTTATTCAACCGAGAACCTTAGCAGGATAAGCTGCTTTGTGGTGTCCGTTCAGCCAAATCTGCTTTGCTGCTGTCTTCTGGGCAACACCTTGGTTTATTGTATTGGAGACGTCTGCGTCTTTTGTGCATTATGTTTGTGCGTTTGCGTCAGAATCTATGATGGGGAATCAATGATCTTCTACAGCAATGCCTGCATATGTATGTTCAAGCTCCCTGTGTGTAGGAAGCGGGATCTAGCCACTCCCCCCAGTCATCATCTTGCCCTTGCACAGCGTTAGGCATTTCGATGGATTGATTTGGTCATTCCAATCGAACCCGAGGGTATTCAAATCTACTCGTTTGAGTACTCTAATGGGGACCTACGGGTCTTCCAATGGATTGCTATTGCTATTCCAATGTGTTCCTATTCGTATTCCCATGTGTTGCATTTTCGCATTTCGCGGGACCGTCAAGGGGAGGAGGAGGGAGAGGACGATGATGATGCTGTTGCTGATGATGATGCTGATGGTTATGAGGCTGATGATAATCAGGATGAGGATGAGGATGCTGATGTGGATGATGCTGCTGCTGCTGATGCTGCTGATGATGATGATGATGATGATGAGGATGATGATGATGAGGATGAGGAGGACCAGTGTGAACTCAAGACGCATCAGCGATGTTGCGTGAACCCTCCTCAGTTCCCTCCTCATACGCCCCTAGAAGAGTGTTTCATTCATGCGGAAAGTGCCTGTCAGAAAACAACTGTCTGATACTTTTCAACCGCTCTTGGACGCCATTCCTGGTACTTCAGCGCCGCGGATGACCGTGATTGTTGCGTCCTGACACCTTGTATCTTGCCAGGACACAGTTCCTGGGACTTCCGCATCGCGACTCAAAGTGGCTGCCGCGTTCTTTCAATCCTATATCATGTCATAACACCATTCCCAGGTCTTCAACCATGCGAACCCTTGAGCCGGTAGCAAGCTTTTAAGACAAATGTGCGCTTCGCTGAGGCGAGAGCCACATGTTCAACGCCATCTGCCCTCCACCCTTGACGCCGTTGCAAACTTTTCAGACGAATGTGCGGCGCCAAGGCGAGAGCCAGATTTTGAAAACAATGTGTCCCCCATCATTGAAGCTACTGCTCGCTTGATTCAACGAATGCGCGCGGCGCTGCGGCGAGAGCCTCATTTTGAAAATGGGCCCGTCCTCCATCCGTGACACGATTTGTAAACCTTTGAAACGGGCGTGTGGCGCTGAGGCGAGAGCTATACATGTTGAAAGTCACCCGCCCCCCATCCGTGAAGCTGTTGCACATTTCGAGCCGTGGAGGAAGCCTCAGGCGAAACGCCCAGCCCGCTCGAGTAGGAGGAGGAGGAGGCGGAGGAGGAGGAGGCGGAGGAGGAGGAGGCGGAGGAGGAGGAGGAGGAGGAGGCGGAGGAGGAGAGGGAGGAGGAGGAGGAGGAGGAGGAGGAGGGGGAAGGGGAGGAGGAGGAGGAGGAGGAGGAGGAGGAGGAGGAGGAGGAGGAGGAGGAGGAGGAGGAGGAGGAGGAGGAGGGAGGAGGAGGAGGCGGCCTCTTGGTGGTCTCGTGAGGCCCTCTTGGGATTTCTTTCGGGTCTCCTGGGGGCCTCTTGTGGCTCCTTGGGGGCTTTTTGGGGCTTCTGGGGGCCCCTTTCGGGCCTCGTGGAGCCTTCTTGGGCCATCTTTCGGCGCTCTTGGCCCGTCTGGGGACCTCTCTGGGCGTTGTTTGGGCCTTCTTGGAGCGCTGTAGGGCGGTCGTCGAGGCCTCTTGGATTGTGTTGGGCCGTCTTCGGGGGCCTCTTGGCCGTAGGGGCCCAAGAGCTCCTCGAAGGAGATGGCCCAAAAATCTTGATCCGCCTTCTTCGGCCGTCTTAGGGCCCTCTTGGGAGCCTCTTGGGCCGTCTTGGAGTCATCTTGGACACCTTTTGGGCTGCCTTGGGGGCGAGTCAGAAGCCCGAACAGGCGAGAACGCCAAGTCCTCCAAAGCATTTAGGAGCACCAGTGATTGCTGCTTCGTGGGGACCCTCCAGGAGGGCCTCTTGGAGCCCTCGTGGGCCGCATTGGAGCCATCTTGGGCCGTCCAGCGCCATATTGAGGCCGTCTTGGACCGTCTGGAGGCAACCGTGGGCCGTCTTGTAGCCAGCCATGGCCATCTTGAGGCATCTTGGAGCCATCTTTGGCCGCTTGGAGGCTATCTGGATCCCCCAAGATCTGCTGGAGAAGCCGTGCCGCGGTATGGCATGGGCGGCTGGGCTGGGCTGGTGCAGACACGCGAGCCCCTCCCCCTCTCCTAACCGCAGCCCGCTAGCCTCGTGTCCTGACCTTCTTTTCGCAACCCCTCGCCTCGCCTCCCCTCCCCTGACCCCTCTCCTCCCTCTCCTGACCCCTCTCCTCCCTCCCTCCCCTCCCCTCCCCTCTCTCCGGCTCGGTGTCTGCCTTGCCCCACCTCGGGGCGCACGGCTGCACGGCGAAACGGGAACTGTTTCATCCAGCCCTCTCCTGTGCGCAGCGCGCTGGCGCCCGATGTTCCCCTCGAGCTCCACGAGGCCCTCGTGCGAGCGGGATGACCCGACCTGACCTCGCATCCGCGGGCGACTCGGGTGCACGGTGCCGCCTTGGCCTCGCACATAGGCCCCGCCGACCCTCGACGCAAGAACGGTACGGTGTATAGTTCTTTGGCCCTCGGGGCCGAACAAGCATGCACCGTTCCGCGCTGGAGCGGAGGAGTAGGAGGAGGGGTCAGCTGAGGAGGAGGAGGAGGAGGAGGAGGAGGAGGAGGAGGAGGAGGAGGAAGCGGATGCGGAGGAGGAGGAGGAGGTGGAGGCGAGGGTTTGGCCTAAACCACCCGCAGGACAGAACCGATACTGCAACCTGCGATCCTTTTTACTTTCCTCTGCAGGCCTAGCCCCACGCGCGCGCCTAGCAAGGCACCGCGATATCAGTCATTTCTTCTCTCTTGTTCTCGCGCGACACCGAGCCAGCTCGGCATCGGCGCGAGCGCGCCAAGCGTCATCAAGCACGGCTGCTTGTGGCGCTAGACCGATCATATCGGCTTCTTTCCCAGCATCACAGTGCCCAGGTTCAAGATCGAACGCAGATGAACAACAAGTGGCAATGTGGCAAATGTGGGAAGATGGTCAACAACTGGCATCGTCACTGTCTTTGCGGCCAAGCCTGGACCGACAATCCCAGAGCAGGAGCAAGGGCGAGGAGCCAGAGCGCAGTGAGAGAACGACAGCGAGAGCAACAGCACATCAGGAACTACATTCAGAAGTTACCGCCCATGCCACATCGTGCGGTGACGAATCACTCAGCCTTTCGTCCGACACCGTCAAGGCAGCAGGAGATTCCAGCGTGGAAGCAGGAGCTGGAGGACCAGCTGCTCAACGTCGCGAGCATGGCGATCTACGCTCGCAGGGCGGGCAAGACGGACACGGCGAACGAGCACGACATGGAGCTGATGGTGATGAAGACCTGCCTGGCCTCCCTAGTGCCCGTGAGGAAGCAGCGCGACGAGGTCAGGGGCAGACTAGATCGAGCCAAGGACCGTCTCAACAATACGGTATCGCGGCTCAAGGACTTATCCGAGCAGGAGAAGGAGATCGAGCTGGAGATCCAGCAGCTTCAGAGCTGCATGAACGAGCTGGAGCAGATGCCAGACGAACCGCCGATGGACGACCTGCACATGGCGTCCTCGGCCCAGCCCCAGGCCACAGTCGCAGGTGTTGGCCCCTACGGGCCGCAGCCGCAGTATGCTTGGGGATTTGCTGGAGCGCAGCATCCACAGCAGCAGCAGCAGCAGCAGCAGCAGATGAACCAGTATGTTGCGCATCAACAGCCGCCCTACATTCAGACACACCTACCTCAGTTCGGAGCGGCTGGTGGACAACGGAACGTGATCGGTCAGCAGCATCAGCAGCATCAGCATGGTCAGATGGGCCAGCAGATGGGCCAGATGGACCAGACGAATTGCCAGCAGACCGATCAGCAGATGATGGACAAGAAGCAGCAGATGATGGACCAACAGATGAAGAGTCAGCAGCAGGGCCAGACAGCACCGCCGCAGCAGCAGTGCCAGATGGGCCCGCAGATGCACGATCCAGGTTTACTACAATTTCTGCGCATGATGGACCAGAGGCAAGCGAGGCAAGAGGAGATCATGTCGAACCTAGTCTCGTGGATCAACACTGCCTCGGGCCAGCAGCAGAACCACCACAGGCAGCAGCAGGCCGTGGGGTTTACTACGGCCGCTGGGGAGACGGCGGCCCCTCCAGCGGACTCACCAGCGCCGCGTACACCAGAAGGCAAAACACCAGTGGGAGGCTGTTCGACGCCGGTTGCAATGCCGAAGACACCAGCCTCACCTCAGTCCTTCGCACCAGCGCAAGGCACACCGCCTGCGTGGAGATCGGCACACAAGGAGAAGCTCCTCACGCCGACGGAGCCCGTGGCCACGCCGAGGGAGGAGCACAAGAGGGAGGAGATCGAGATGCCACAAGCGCCGTGGCCAATTTCACCTACGGAGCCGTGGGCAGGGGGTGCTCAGGAGGACCCTTACTTGACGGCAATGGCGCCGAAGGAGAGCGTGACGAAGATCGAGCCCACGGAGGAGCCTGTTCTGGTGACGTCGCATGGTGGCGACATGACGGACTCCCAGGTACACAAGGAGATGGAGAAGATAGACCAAGCCTGTGCAGAGCAGCGAGCAGCGAGCAGCGCACCAACGGCCGCGAGCAGCTCAGCGACGGCCTCGACGGCATCGAAGTCGACGGCTACGAGGGGGGCGACGGCAAGGACGACGTGGGCAACGGCAGCAACGGACTCGCCGCAGCCGCGCAGCCCTGCGACCAAGGTCCTCAAGGTGGGGGGCAAAGGCGGCGCCTGAGGGGTAAGCAGGTGAGCTGGGCCAAACAGTTAGAACAAGCGTCTCCTTTAGAATGCAACACTGAAATAGGTAGGGATGTGCCGCATCAGGTTTCAATCTTGGGGGGCAAGGATTTTCGGACTAGATCCTGTCAAATAATTAGACAACAGTCTGGGGGTAACACCTCATTAGGGGCTCCAGCCTTTTCCTGCAACACCTATACCAGGCAGCCTGTTGACCAGGGCGCGGGCTTTCCTGCGCAATGCGGAGACAATGGCGAAGCTAGGGGGCAGACATCGGGGTATCGACGGTCTCCTTCGACATTTGCATCGCAGACTTCGGACATGAGCACGGCAGACAGTGTGAGGACCCACGGGTCCATTGCCAGAGGTTTCCCGAGCCAGTGCCAGTTTAGCATGAGTCAGCCCGCGCTGACACCGTTGAGAGAAGCACT